ACTGCGCTCCTTCGGTGGGGTCGGTAGCTCGGATAGACGAACGGCTACGAAACTTACCAGAAGTTCTCTTTGATCTCGCTTCTAGTGGATTACGAAAGATAAATGTTGCGATTTCCCTTTGATAGGTTAGTAAACTTTGTGGTTTTGGTAATCGTACCCTACTAAATTATCCTTCTGAATGTCATGAATTTCTTGGAAGTGTTAATTGAGGAGTTCTGATTAATGTGCACAATATTTAACGGATCTCAAAGTTCTCGCAATTTAATACCATGTCGTTAAGGATCCTATTAATAAAAAAGTATTCTACTGGCGGGATTAACCCTGGAATTCTGGGTGTGCTAATACGTTCCTGCTTGTATTGGCATGCAATCTCTTGCAGGTAAACGTGCCAATCAAAGACAATGGAAACTTTAATTTAGATGAAAAACCTACAAAAGAAACTGAACCACAAGTAAACAGCAATAGAAGTAATGCTCTCGTGTGGAGTACACCGAGGGTTTGAGATCTGAACGTAGCGACTCGTAGCATAGTGACAATGAAGGGGACAAAACCTTTGAAAACGAGCCAAAACACAATTAGACAGTACTCCGCGCCAAATCACCTTCCGAGTTTATTGAGCGAGTTATTTCTCAGCTAGAATAGCTCACCAAGTGTGTTTGCATCCGCGAAACTACTGCATGAAATGTAAGCGTTAACAAATATTTGAAACTCAATATTGACCGTTTTATTTTTCACGAAGGAGTTAACTTTGTAACCACACAGCTGAATACTATCTACCGCTTCCTGTGGTAATTCACGTAGCTGGCACATGCTCATGTAGGCGAATGGTAATTAGTGATGGAAGAATATCCAGTGAACGTTAAGGAAAATAACGTAGCACGAGGATAAACATCCTAATTCCTTTTACATAATAAATGTTTTTGATTCATCAAACCGGAACACGTTAAGAAAGCGAAAACGGGCGATGTAACTGAACAACCAAAAAGTACACATTTAAGGTATAAACCTTGCTGCGATTTGAAATTCTAATAAAAAAAATCGCGAACCATAAAATCTGGGCCCGTGCGCACATTAGATCAACACGTAGCTCATCTAATTCTTAGGAAACCCCAGGTTTTCTGCAGAGTGGACCAATTGGTTCACGTGCTCTTCTTACAGTCTCAGAGCATTCGGACATTGCCCTTCACGCTAAGTGCGACGACCCGCGTTTTATTGCGTAGCCGCGTCCTTCCTCCTCTGCGCGCGGCCCTCCGGGCGCAGATGGTTCCCCGACGCAGGTGCGGATGCAGAACCTGCCAGAGGGCACAGTCCACATAGAATTACAAGGGCTTTTTTATTTATAACCTCCATTTCGGTATTTGATAAATGCTGGCCTTAACCGGGCAGACATCACATTGAGTGAAAGTTTACTACTTCTACAGAATACCTATTCATGATTAATTAGTAAGAATTTTCCAAGAGAATCCGCCAATTTAACAATCACAACGAACCAAATTTGGGTTGTAATTGTTGGAATGACTGGAAAGAAAGGCTTGTACAAATTTTTCAAATTTATAAATGTATTTCATTTGTAAATATTGTTTCAGGAAAACTCCTATAATTAGCGTCTTCAAAACAACCCAAATGTAAAAATAGAATCTTTCTCTGGACGTTTTACTCTCAGATCTCTAATTATGTAACAATATGATACTGATATAATACCAATGAAACGCCATACAAACTTTCTCTTGTTAAAAATCCTAGTACTTTCTTGCTATCTTTTCTGGACACACGCTTCAATAGATCGAAGCTGTATCGAAGGTTGCATCCTCGGGGCGTAGTATTTAATACACGCCTATTGCGAGGGGACGAGTAAAGGAAAGCGCCTCAAGATGTCCTTTTATTGGAAAACTGTTGTAAACTGAGCGTAACCCTAAATATCGCGGCCAAAGAAAGCGTTTTACGCTATATTCACGCAGTCTTGTGACTATCTAAATGAATAATAAAAAAAAGCACCATTTTCTGAATTAAACATTCAGAAAACTAAATAATGACCAAATTTTTAGATGCATTTTTGTGCACAGACATTTTAAAAACGATATGATAGTATTAACTAATTAATCGACTATCCATTTGTATGATATCCGAACGGAAAAACCCACCTGGTCCATGCATTGTTTTTGTTTTCAAAAAGACAAGCATGCTTCTTCGGTATTCTTTGAGTATTCAAATACAAAATGCTAATGAAGTTCAAGGATATCCATTATTTGTCAGCGCAAAACTGCTATCGTTCAAGCTGCTTATCTCAATTTTCAGATAAGCGATATCTAGTGAAACAATGTTTTTATGTACCATAAAAAGGAATGTGCCTGAATTAGTCTGGATAAATCTGAAGCAAAGTTTTGCAAAATGTAATTTCTAATTTTTTTAAAACTCCTATTTTCTTTAAGTAAATTCGTTATTGATGATGGTTAATCCTATCTATTAATGTTCAATCTATATTTTCCATTAATTTGAGAACATCACAGTAAGAGCTAAACAAACCACACCCTAAAAATCTTAAAATGTCAACTCCTATAATAACGTTCATAAACTAATACCTGCGTAATATATTCCATTTATTTTAATGCGATGCTCCCTAGAAAGCTCAAACGTCAGTTGGCCTGGAGATCACCATGATTAATGGCCCATAGAGTCCGCTGCACCAGACCACCGCAGTGACAGCTACCCACCTCCAGCCCGTGAGGGCGTGGTCTTTCTTCCACGTGTTCCGCTTGCTATTAATTACTGCGTTCTAAAGTCCACGATAAGAGAGAACATTATTTTAATAGTTTTAAGAGTAAACTTGAGCCATCTCTTTGCAACCTAATCGTTTGTAGGAAGAAAATTAATGTTATTTTCGAATTTTTTAAAACATTTTAAAGTCATAAGATGTATATTACTTTGTTTGTGTTCCTACGTTATTTAGACGTTTATGACCGACGGCTTTAGAAAAATAATGTTCCGTTCTCCTTCAGAAAAAGTTTGCAAGTACGAAGTATCGCGCGTTATTTGTGTGAAAAGGTTTACATTCTTGAGAATCTGAAATATTAGTACTTTTTAATATACAAGCACTCTTGAATTATTGTACTCGTTTGATGAAGTTCGAGGAATTGAAATTGAACCGTGAAAACCTATTAATGAAGGACTGAGGACGATAGTTACGATTTTTTTTTAAAATCTACAAGCTTGAAAAATCCTGCTAAGAACATTCAGCCTAATGGTTCCAAGGGAAAAGTGCATACAACAGGGCTGCGTAATACAATACAACGAAAGGCAAGTTGTAATCGGATTTTGGAAGTATTCCGAGAACACTCCCCCCCTCCCGAAAGCAAGTGGCCAGCGGGGTTTCGGTGGTCATTATTACGAGATTGGCGGAGAAGCCGGCAATCTTCTCGTCGGGTAGTCAGGGGCGTGCACCGCCGCTCCCTCCCTGGAGGGCCGACGCCGGCGACGCCATCCCCGCTTTTCCTCCTCCAACTCCTGCGGTTAAGTTGCATCACCGCGCCCACCACAGTCCCTTCTCCCTTCCCTTGCCAACCTCACCCTACCCCGACACTGTCCGTCCACCGCTTCGCGTCGCCGCTCGCGGCCAAGTTCTCCTCCGCTGCCTTCGTTAAGTTGCGCGCGCGCCAGTACACGAGAAGATAAGACTCAGCACGGTAATTGACTACGAGGAACTCCGCACTACACGCATTTTAGTTTATACCACCCCGAGTTTCCTTCGAAGTAAACCGCAATTAAGGTAAACATTCATAAATATGAGGAAGAAATGGAAGAATGAAAAAGTGCCGGTAACTGAGAACCTTCTTGCCCTTTGTTATGATAACCACTGAGAAAAGTAAGTGGATGTCGTTTTGCAGTTGGGCTAAGAAGAATATTCATTCAACATTCGATATGCAATGAGGGTAAAAAAATAAGCAGATTTATGAAAGTAAATTAAACCTTTTAAACTATCCTCTTCAGTATATTTTTTTTAAGTTCGGCAGATTTGAAAGTTAATTAACCGTTTACGAAATGTTGGCGTAACTAATGACCTGGATTAATAACGTTTCAGTTCACTCGTTTTAGAATAAAATGGTGAGCGCGCGTGTTACGTGCCACTTTCACTTCTTAGCATCTTTAAACACTAGAGGGCTGTAACTGGGAAGTCACGCGGCGTAAGTGTGGTTGGGGTTGCAGCTAACGGGTCAAGGAAGACACGCTGTCGTGAGTGCAGGGCGTACGTAAGATTCGCATAGAAAGTGTCGATCGCATTGCTATATCCCCTTTACGCTTTTCCTTCTGTGATGCATTTTCTCTCTGATATATTAGCGGTCTTTTATCGATCGTTTGTTGCGTGCCCTCAATACTATTTTAGATAACAGATTAAATTTATTGATGTGGAAACCATTTGATTTATGATAACCGCTTTTATATATTTAAGATTTCTCGGAATTCTAGGCTTCCCACAGAAAAGGAGTTCTTAGTTTTTCAGCCAATCGCTTGCCCAAGGTAGGAAAAAAATAAACCGAAGTCACAATTCACCTTGAAGCATGTCGTTTCGCGTTTGACCGAGAAAAAAGCCCTGCGAGTCTTGTTTTATTTCTGAGAGCACCCAAGGTTAACAGATCGAAAGAGGAAACCCGATTTAACTAGACTGAATTACACTCTTACATCTACTTATTTATCAGTGTCTTGCACCTATGGTTAATAGAATGCAACCGATTTTGTACCATGTACAAATTTAACATATTTGAGAAAAATGGGTGGCGAAAAAAAAAAGTTATCGAAGAATATTAAACTGCACAAGCTTCAAAACTTATAATGAAATGAAAAACAAAAGGGGAACACTTTGTTTAAATTTATAAACAGCGTACGTACATTTGAATTAAATAACTGACGCAGACAATAGTTCATTACATTTGAAACCGAAACTAAGACCAATTACAATAAACACTCGCAAAGCCTTAGGACATTTTCACGCAAGTCCTAGTACTCACTTGCAGTAGATATGGACTGCACAGAGATGAAGATGAAGATAAGGCGACTTGCTCGCTCACTGAACCACGCACGACTGCTTCGCTGTGTCGCCGGCGCGTCCCTTCTCTACTCTTCAAAACTCCCTCCACGGGCACCGGGCACCGGCGCGAAACGGCGCGCGCGGCGGAGACCTCTGGAACCACGCGCCCCGGGCGCTCGCTCCCATTGGCAGCTTCCTTGGGCGGGGACGCGCCTCGCGGCCCCATTGGTCCAGGCGGCCGGCTGTAGCAAAAAACCCGCGAGAATCGCGCGTGCTGGGAAAACCCTATCGTGGGCAAGACCGAAAGAGAAGAAAAAGGAGAATGAGGTTTTGTCATCCGTTGCTGCGGTACCGCTGCGTTCACGGGCGTTGTTTTGTTGTGTTCTCCGCTCGTTTGAGCGGACGGAGACTTGTTTTCTCGCAGCCGTTGATTCACTTCCACGTTATTTTGTTTCGTTTTAGGCGATAGGTGAACCGCATTCGTTTACGTCATGCGTTCTGCGAAAAAGTGCGCAGTAGAAAATTTCAGCGGCCTTGATTAGAAGCTGCTGCAGGCAGATCTGTGAGTCATCCAGGAAGGGGATTCCAGTTTTTCTTTTAATTATCTCAGTGAAAAACACTGATCGAGAATAATTTAGCGTTCTAGAGAATTAACTGACTCGCTGTGTTATGCCAACGCCTCTTGTTGCGTGATTTTCCACTCTGGTATATCTCCTCTCTTTTTTATGTATCTGCAAGCCGGGAGGGGAGCATATCTAGGCTGGTACAAGAGGTGCGCCGAGCCAGGGCCCCTATGCGGTCTCTCTCTATCATTCAATGAAGTGTTCCTGTTGCAAAAGATTTTGAGTATTGAGTTCAGATTATTTCTTATTAATCCTCAATTACGAAGCGGGGTAATTATTTGGAGAAATAAGAATATAGATTGTTGTATTAAAATTGGTCGATATATTTTCGCACTTCGTATTCAGCCGAGCGATTTGACCGATGCCCTGCCTCCCTTCCCCCTGACCAGCAGGAGTTTTTTTATTTGGAAGATGAATTCGCAACATTTTCCGCAGTAAACGCGCGACGTAAAACAGGCAAAAGTATGTAAGAAAGTTCGTTGTTTTCCCAGGTTGTCCTTTCTGCATCGCGTAGTTTACGGACGCAAATTTTACAAACTAGTTTTCAGAATAGGATCCCTGAAATGAGAATATTGATGACGAAAATGGAAAATAATATATTCGCTGGTTAATTGGTAAATCAAATTGTAATATTAGTACCTATATAAATCAGACATAATTCCAGGTTCCACTTTTGATAAGTGCAGTTAGGGCCCTATTTGGACCTGCAACGGGGCTTCGAGAAACAGCTATGCCTCTGTTGCAAGTCTCTTAGTGGCTTGTAAATATATTGTTCTTATTCAGATAACCCTCTGGAAAGAATTCCCCAATAATCCTATTTTCCATTTGAAGTAAATTCTTATATCTATACCAAGTGTCATAATGTGCGGAGAGACAATTTGTAATTGATTACATTTAGGAGGTAGAGATCCAACGAATAGAGAATTGCTTTGATGAATGAAAATGGCAAAGTGGCACAAAAATGAGATAATTTGACTAATTAATGTTGTTTGAAAGCATGCAACTGCGGTTTAGTAAAATTACGATTATCTAAGTTAATTGGGGACAAGTCTGCCTCTTTCCTGCTTCCTTGTTTTACCTTACGGAAAAACTCCGATTATCCGGAGTTCCCTTGATCGTAAAAAACGGAAGTAAAATGAACATTTCTAGTGTCATGTTAAACAACTATTAATACGTATGCGACATTAAACACACATTCAGTAAGATTCATAAAAAATGAATCCATTTTAATAGGACAAAATTATTTTCCGAAAAAGTCTGATGTATTTTGAGGTTAATTTCTTGCCTCTATAGCTCGTCGCGTTGTTTCGTCAACGCTGTAGAAACAGCAGTTCGCAATTTTTCAATGGCTTATTTTGTTGTTTTTTCTGGTGACTGACTCGATTAATTCGAAGTCTATTAGTCAGGACACATTATTGCCAGTCTCCTGTATTGAAATTTGAAAAGATATTTCGAGAATTGTATTTTTCTACAATAAAACCGTTAATAAATACGCAGTTGTGGAAATACGAGTAATCGTAATATCGTTAAATAGTCAATAGTTTTTACAGTAATTCAGAAAATTAAGTTTCTATAATTTCTTGCCCATTTCCGAGATCATAAGTTTGCCATTCTTCTTTATTTACTATTTTCTTTCTGAATTGCTTAGCCACGTCAACGCATATTTCAGCAAGTTATTTGGCACGATATTTTTAAATTTGAACATTTTCTGTTTTTGTGTTCTGCTTATATACGCAAAACCGTTTTTGTACCGATAAAGAAAATACAGTAATTATTTGTAGGATCACAAAATACGTATATACGGCCGTTATAATCTAAAAGGACTATATTTTGCTATTGGATCTATACACTTGGGTCCAGGTAGCAAGTGTTGTCTACGGTGAAAAGATAGAGGAGGTGGTGTCTTGGAGTTTTGCTAAGGAATCCGGCGAATGAATTTCGCACCGTGGACGTACGGCATTGGGCGCAGATTTTCCGCATTCCAGCCCATGCTAACGGAAGGGGATGTGCTCCTAAAAAACCTGCAGTAGAATTCCATTGTAATGTTATAACCATTTATGATAACTTCGGAGATTAGGAAAAAGGTACACGAGTGTCAGTAGTAAGCTGTGTAATAATAAAGTAGTATAAATAGTCGTAGCAGGAATACACAATGGAATGTCAAATCTACGTGATATCGGTATTTTCTTGGCCGTGACAAAATGTTACTTTCTGAATGAGACTTTCTGGAATGAAATAAAATTCCAGTAAATTAATTGAAAACAATAACAATTTGTTATAATAAAAAATCTAGAAATTATTATGATAATCATCGTGATCAACATACTACGATTTACACGATTACCAACCAACATTTTACGAAGATTATATTTCGATCTTGAGTTTGTTAACCCTTCCACTAAATACTCTTTTCAGCGTCCTTCGAGTACTAAAAGGGATAACGAAGTTATGTTATGAAAAATAAATTATATTAATATTTTAAAGGTCGTAGTATTGTTTTGTCAGATACATTAACTTATGTACCCAGAGAATTTTATATGAGTGTACCCGTGCGAGAGTAGTAGTTAGTATCAAGAAGCGCTGATTCAGCAAACATGTAATAGAAGGTCCAAGAAGATGTCATCCTGTAGATTATGGCACAAGGAACGTTCTTTTAAGCCATTGAGCCTCAAAATTCCTGATTTTAAACGCCCTAGAAAGCTTTCATTTGGAGTTATATCACTACACAGAATTTAACACTGTCACAGCGTGTTGCGGGTTGCATTTGGCATGAATGTTTAGACGCGTTTCTTTTTTCAACAGATCCTTTATATTTTTAAAGTTAGTGCTGTTCGTTACATCTACGTGAAATTATATTTCTTTAGAGGTTTCATTTATAAAGATTGGCTGCATGTGCGAGCCGCACAACCCACCTCTACAATACTAATATAGGAGAAGATTGCACGTACTGATACATTTTTTTGCGATTTTAACAATATAAAGTCAAAAGAATAATTTTGAAGACACGTCCACAACATTCGCATGAACTCCTGCTGTTCACGTACTCTCAAATCATATTAAGAAAATACGATAACAAGTGGATTAAAAAGGTATAAATTAGCCGATGTAAGATTACATGTGAAACTAGTGGTGCTACAACAGCACATCTTTTCTCAGCACCTTCTCACATGTTTGTGACTTTTAGAATTTTTGAAAATTTAGAGAATTTAATTGCGAAGGCTGCTGAACCTACTTTGCTCTACCCTAGGAAAAAATATAGAACAATTGTGAAGCTGCTTTTGAGGACTTTTAATTGCCTTTACTTCAAGCAATAATTACGAGAAAACTACTCGTATATTTTCAAAAAATGTGACTTTTTAGAACAGATTGACAAAGAGATGATCTAGTCGGTCAGATGGACAGACAAACACAGTCGACGGACGACGGACACAAAACCGTAACCAAATTTGCCGTAAACCAAGTTTTCGGAATCAAGGACCCACAAGGACCCCCCAGACTCTTAACCTAACGTAATTTTGCAAGGCAATTAAGTATTTAGTTTAAAACTTGAATCTTCGTTTTTGTGTGAGTGAAATACCGATAGTTGTAATTTAAAACAAATTTATATTTTCGTGGCCATGATGACCATTGGTTCGCAGATATCGCTCTTGGTTATTGACTTCCCGACTTAGCCGACCCTAGAATGAAGAAGGCATCATCGAATGCTGAAAATAAATATGCGTCATTTTTTGAATTTATTATGTAGTAATTTTGCCTGTTATATTACTTCTTAAAATATTGCGCAAAACGACCTGAGAAACAATCCATACTTCATTTTCCACCACGTTTCAACTGTTTGTTGTGGTATTGTTGGTGTGAAGATAACTCGAACAGTGCGGAAGTGTAGGAAAATAAAGTATGGTTTGTTTGTCTGCTCAATATTTTTTGAATTTATGCCACGAGCTGCACATTTACAATAAATGTAAAGTGCTAGATCTTAAATATTAATTATTAATAAATAATACTATTATTATATTGATTATTTTTTATCTTCCTTAAAGTATTTTTTGCATTAAAGATTAAAATTAAATCAATAATAATTAAATGTCTTGACGTATGTATTCAAGAAAATGAAGCTCTTCTTATTAGAATCTAGTCTTCTCTAGAAATAAAATTCTAATTCCTTAAAAATTACGCTTTTAGGGGGGGAGGGGCTGATTTTTGTACCATTCTCTTTTTAGATCTTCGTACACAATGTTTTTGCTTTAATAATTTTATGGTACTTGCTACCAATTGGTATACGTGTAATAATATTATGTTGTACCTCACCTAAACTCGCGTGTGCGCAAATACGGGGAATTCTTTATCCTTGTTATTAAAAAAATTTAAAAAGAAATCGTTTGCAATGGATTTTATGTAGCTCGCATAACAGCACATTTTGTCTACTTTTCTTAGCAATAAGTGCTGATTCCAACTTTACTTTTGAAGACGGTTGGTACTTGAAAATTAATAAGAAAATTACGATTATTGAGCGCGTAAATTTATAATGAAATTGAATAATTAATTTGACGAATAAGTTCAAGTTGGTCATTCAACAATATCATTTACATGATCATTCATATCTTAAAAAAATAATTTTT